AGGAAGGGTGGTACCATTCTTTTTAGCTTCGGCTACAGCTTTAGCATGCAAAAATTCATTTTTACAACATGACATTAAATGATTACTCAAATGTCCCGTCCCACCCTGTTTTCCTACAGTTTTATGATTCATTCTATGTTTACATTTATTACAAATAGTTTGTGTGTTATCTTCATTCTGAGTCATAAAATGCCACACAACTGATTTTTTAGCGCGTTCTACCTTATGCGTAGGATGCACGGAGGGAACGGGAGCAGGACAACGAAAGGGAGCGGGAGCCGGGGAAGAGGAACTGGGAGTGGGAGTAGTAGCCGTAACTGGCACAGTTTCATCATCATCATATTCATCAACATTATTATCAAAACTATCAATATAATCATTAACAACATCATTTTCATCATCTTCAGGTAATTCCTCATCAAAATTACCAAACCTTCTTTGTAAATGTTCATGATAAGGATCTAATCTGCTATTACTATCAATATTAAAAACAGTTTCATCAACATGCGTATAATTATCCGTATTTATTCTTAATTGAGAAGTTTTTTTAGTTTTAGATTTAGAAGTACTACCGATTTTTTTATTTTTCTTGGATTTTGAGCTTCATAAATTAGTGATCGTATCAATTATGGTTGTTTTACCCTTGTCAACATTATTTTTACCGAAATTCATATTCAAATATAAAAAGTGAATAAATTATAGATAATACGAAAATGTAATGCAAAGTTTTAAACAAATAAATAACTAAATAAGTAGAGACTAGAGACTAATTACTCACAAAATAAATAATTAAATGCAAACAAATAAATAACTAAATGAAAAGTGAGTTGGAACGAATGTACCAAACGTCTACTTAAAAAAGTAGACGTGTATGTCGAAAATTGAAAGTTGAATTTTGAAGCTCCAATTTCCAAAGATCAAATTCATAATTTTAATGTTACTGAGAGATTAGAGAGTGAGACTTTTGCGAATTGTTGAGTAATCCTAATCAACTACCCGTTTGACCTTTCTTTTTAACCCATAAACCAACTACCCGCCCCATAAACCCAATACCCACCCAATTTCCTCTAAGATATATCCAAATTAAAAGACCCAAATCTAAAACCCTTAACGAAAGCATCAATTTTAATTTCAGAGGATCCTCCATTTGCAGTGGAAAACTGGTAGATTTTCTGTATTTCTTTTGCTCTTCGCCTCGTTGCCATCACTTCTTTCATTTCCAGAATCCATAAACCATTTCAACAACCTAGAAATCTCCCTCGATATCGAACATTTGTCATGTTTTTTCACCCTATAACCAATTTTCCAATCTTCAACAATTTGCTTACTGTTAGTTTTTTTATCCCAGAATATCGGAAAAGTCAGCATTGGAAGGCCTGAGAATGCTGCTTCTTTAGTCGAATTCCATCCACAATGTGACCAAAATCCACCAATCGAAGGATGTGACAACACCTTCAATTGGTCACACCAGGGCACAACAAGCCCTACACTACATCCATTTTTCTGAAATCGAACAGTTTCATCACGTGCCACCCAAAAGAAATGAACACCACTATTGTGCGCACCAGCTACGATCTCATCAAGTTCATCACGCGAGACAGAGAGAAAGCTCCCTTGCGAAATGTACAAAACAGAACCATTTGGTTGAGAATTTAACCACTTAATGTACTATGGTTCATCGATTGAAGTAGTTGAGGAGGGATTTTTTTCGCTAGTAAAGTAAGGTATTGCTGGACCAATCGAATAGACAGGGATGGGGAACTTTTGCTTAAGAGCATCGATAACAGAAGATGCGAGCTCGTAGACTGAAGTGAACAAAAAATATTGTGCTTTAGAAACTGTAGAATACTATTAAATCGACGAACTTGATGAAGACTAGGGTTTTGTGTGATAGGAACGGACCTTTAGATTTGGGTCTTTTAATTAGGATATATCTTAGAGGAAATTGGGTGGGTATTGGATTTATGGGGTGGGTAGTTGGTTTATGGGTTAAAAAGAAAGGTCAAACGGGTAGTTGATTAGGATTAAGACACGTGTAAAAAATGAGGGGGCCGTAAGTGAGAGGGGCATGTGTGTACCTATAATTGGACGGCAGGGGTTTATGTGGACGCAAAGTATAACGGAGGGCATAGACGTACCATTTATTAAAAGTTCGAGGGTAAATCCGTCCTTTTTTCCCTAGTTTAAAAAAAAGGATGAAAATGTAGTTTTTAGAAGGTTGGGGTGTTAAAAAAAAATTGGGGGGGGGGGTAGGGGGTGTTTGGGGAGTTGTGGAGGTGAAAGAGCCGTTGTGGGGCCCAAAAGACGTTGGCCAACTGCTCCTACAACGGCTAATTGCAAATTTTATTTATTTTTTAAAAAAATCGGACCGAACCAGAACGGACCGGGACCGAAACCGGGACTAACCGGTAAATCCCGGTTTCCGTCCCGTTACCCCTCCCGGACCCGCTACTAACCGGACCTAATCGGTACAAGCCGGAATCGAGACGGAACCGATAACGGATTGGGACGGACCGGAACCGGCACCTCTCGGTTCCGTTGCCAAACTTGGATATGGGTCAAAATTTGTCCTGAACTATGTGAAATAGATCACTTATACCCTTCATTATAATTTGGGATAAAAAGATTCCTTTGCTATTATTTGAAGAGACCACAAATATCCTCAAGAGTTAACAACTCATTTTATTTAGTGACGTGACAAGCTACGTGAGACTAATCTCTCCACCTAAGCATTGCCAACTAGAATTCACAAAAAAAAGTTAGGGTCTTTAGTGACGACAAAAGTCGCCATTAGATTATAAGAATGATTTTATGTTTTTTTTTCTTCATAACAGGGACATTGCTTTTAAAAAACATAAATGACGTAGATTAAGGAGAATTTTAAAGATACTATATGTTTTTATTTTTATATCATATGTAAATATATAAAATTTACAATGTATAGTAGTAGGAGATTTGAGTTAAAAAGTAATTTTGGTTCTTTTCGTAATAATACTGAATATTTTTAGTATTTATAGTAGATGTATATTGATTTTAGAAAATTAAGGTGTAACTGATTAATTTTTTTTTATTTTTTTTTGAAAAAATAGATTTTGCATGGACTTACCCGTTTTCGAGGCACATGCACCTTGGGCTATTTAGAACCTTTAGACGTAGTCAATTTCGGAATTTCGATGTGGGTCTCACATTCCCATTTTGACTCCATTGGGTCCATTTCCGATTGTTGCAATTTTAGTGTCAAAACGTCCATAATGGCATTGTGATTGATACTTTAATAGTTTGGCGGTGTTCATAGGCGTTCCGGATGCGGATAACTCGTGTGTGGTGGATATTTTTTATTTCCTGTCACATGACTTGTCACATCACTAAAAATTTGTGTTGTTAACTCTTGAGGATATTTTTATTTCTTGAAATAACAACGAAAGTATTTTTAATCCAAAAACATAACCGAAGATATAAGTGATTTGTTTCATATAATTCAAGAGTAGTTTTGATCCCTTTCGATAAAAACAAAATGGACTACATCATCTATGCAACTGTAGGGTGGGCTAAACAAAAGTACAAAACTACGTACACCAAGTTAGGTGTGTTAAATGATAGGATCGACACAATCAATGAGCAATACGGTTAATTATAGAAATTATTTTCTCTACTTTTAGTACTAGGGAAGTTATTTTGCTAGTTTTTAGGAAATTGAATTTCCGAGAGAATATATTTCAATTTTTTGATCTAATCGAACATGCGAAACACACCCATAAGTTTATATATTTTTATAATTTGAATTAAGAATTGTTTTCTAAATAAAAGAAAAAAATCAAACTTATTAGGAAGGTGGAGGTAATCTCTTTATTTATTTTTAATTAAATAAAGAAAACTGGTAATTAATATTACAAAAGCAACTTGAACAAAAAGATGTCTTGGAATTTTTCTATATTGAGAAGATGGTCATTTTTAAAAGTCTGTTTGAGTGTTCGGTGTTGTTTTTATCACTATCTGCCAAGTATAGAAAAATTTGTTAGGTTGCAATTAATAAAGTGATAGAAACACAAATTGAAGTGCGGAAAAGTAGGTCTTAGGCCTAACTTATTCTTCGAAAGCTAATTTAAAGAAAGAATAATTGTCTAAGCCTTATAATAAATTCATCCATCTCATTAATGGTCAATATGAACGTATATCATTCTTTGAGAAAGAGAAGTTAAAAAAGAAGAAGAGGAAATTAAAGTGAATTAAACTATTTATAGGTATCAGCTGGAAAGAAACGTTGAAGAGAACCACATAATTATATGATATATATCATCTCAAGAATTGTTATATTATAATGAGTATAATTTTTTTAATTTTAATTAGATATGTTGGATATAAAAAAATCCTGCTAAAAAATATTATTTTTTTCCTTTACAAGCTTTGTTGTGAGAATTAAAATTATTTAGATTTTAATATAATAGACGAATGTAAAACAGAAAATATGATAAAATCACGTTTTTTTCAGTTTCAATAAAAAATCTCAAATATGAATTTTTTTATGAAGAACGCTTCTTTCTTTAAATTTTTTACGGCATGAATGCTAATACGAAAATGGAATATATATATATATATATATATATGATCCATTAAATATATATGAAAATGATGGAAGATCAAGATCTTTTGATGCGTTATTATGATTATAATTAGTTGACTTGCAGTTTCTTTAAATCTGTAAAACTTATAGTAATTACACTTGAAAATGGAAAAGATGTAAAATTGTGTAGCTGTTGTGCATATGCGAGTTTGATCATTGGTTAAATTTTATATTTGCAATACCGAATTTGGTTATATTATGTCCACATACAAGGATTTCATATTATCTTGCACGTAATTACGACAATTTTTATTTTATTTTTTTATTTCAAGAAAGAGTTTGACCAAGATTCAAATGTGGATACATCATCACCCTAACCTAATTAGTTGGTTATATAAATTTTCATTTTATCCCTAAAAAGATTGATTCTACACTTTAGAATTTCCTTTCTTCCTAATAAAAAAAAAGCTCATGGAAAAAGCCATAGTTCGTTGGATGAATTTGTACTGTCTATTTAATTTTCTCATCATATTTATCGTGAGGATTTGCCGTGGTGATAGATATACTTTGACGAGACAAATTCAAAGAAAGGAGTTATAACATATGTTTTTTTGTGGATGATATAATTTTGATTGATAAGATTTAGAGCTAAATTAATCCTAAGTTGGAGATTTGGAGATCGATTTCGGAGTCTAAAAGGTTCAGAATGAGTAGGACCAAAATAAAATAAGCCTGAAGTACTTCAACAAAAATAGCTTCTAGTGGCAATAAATATGCGCATACAAAGAGTGCTAAAACCTTTATCGATATTAGTTAATTGTCATTAAATTCAATATAGTTCTAGATTTTAGGGACATTTGAAAAGAGTGTTAATTGTCAATTGTCACTAATAAAACATATTTAATGGCAATTCAGCTATTGTTGTTAATTAATTGCAGCTAAAGATCATTTTTGATGTAGTGAAGTGCAAGTTCAATAACGCAACACATGAGGATGACGTGGAAGTGAGGCTCAATACACATACCATCCAAACGAGAGGTCGTTTCAAATATCTTGAGTCAACTATCAAAGAAAATGGAAGATTGACAATGATTACGTCATACATCATATTGGTGTATGGTGGATGAAATGAAGGTTCACATTTAAAATCTTGTGTGATAAGAAGATGTCGTCAAAAGACAAGTTTTATATAGTGATCGTTAGACCTACGTACTATGTTATATGGTGCAAAGTGTTGGTCAGTCAATAACTCTAACATTGAGAAGATGAAAATTACAAAATGATGATTGCTTATCAGATTGATGTGTGGCATACTATAATTCAACGGGGTAAAATAACTGAGAATTTAAAATTTGAATTATTTTTCAAAAATAAAATTATAAGTTGCTAATTCTTTTTGGTTGGGGGAGGGGCTAATTTGGGGGTAGGAGGGTCGGGGTAGGGACAAAATAGATTTATTATTTAATATTTTTTTTATAATTTTTTTTTTTTTGAATAGGGAGGGTCAGGGTATGGGGTGGAGTAAGAAAAAAAATTGTTATTTGAGGTTGAAGAAGAATTTCAGAAAATGTTTTCCTTAATTTTTTGAAAGACTGTCATTTTCTTTAAATTTAAGGAATATAAGTTGATTTGGAAAACATTTCCAAAACATTTAAGACAGACAACCAAACACGAGAAAATTTAAATTATTTTTAAAAAAATGTTTTCCTTCGTACCAAATACACCCTATATGTATGCTCGCACCAACTGAGTTTATAACATATAACATATATAAGTAATAAGATGGAAAACTAACACCTTGCTTGTATGGTTGTATTGCATTCATTTAAGGAAAAATGTTCAAAATATACCCCTTAACTTTTATTTATTAGTTGACTTTATCATTGTCGTTAAAATGAAGTTGTTCTTACCTTCGGCGTCTACAAACTTATCACTCGTACTCATAAATTGGATGGAGAGCCCCAAATAAATTGAAATTACCCAATTTTGATTAAAATAATCCAATTTCTTTTTTAATCATAACCTGACCCACTAAATCAAATAAATTAAAACCCCAAACCCATCTCTATAATCTTTTTCATCTCCACCCACCAGAATGGTACACTTTCTTTGTGTCTTCTTGAGATGACTTTCAATCTGTGTTATTCCAATGTAACAGTATCAGGCATTTTATATATTGGTGATGTTTTTTTTTTTTTAATCAATTCCCCTGTTAAAATTGAAATGGTGAAATTGTTCCCAAAAAAAATATTGAGCAAAGTGCCTCCCGTGATTTAAGCATCAAGTGTTTCAATGGTGGATGGAGATGAAAAAGATTAGAGAGAAGGGTTTGGGGTTTTAGTTTAGTATGAATTTATTTGATTTAGTGGGTTAGGTCGGATTAAAAGAAAAAATTGGGTTATTTTAATCGAAATTGGATAATTTTAGTTGATTTGGGACTTTCCATCCAAGTGAGGGATACGAGTGATAAATTTAAAGTCGGTGAGGGCAAAAAAAGCTTCATTTTAACGGTAAGAGTAAAGTCAACTAATAAATGAAAGTTGAGGGATATTTTTGACCCTTTTCCCTTCATTTAAATATAAGGGAAAAGGGTCAAAAATATCCCTCAACTTTGTTTTATTGGTTTACTATGCCCTTAGGGGTCGTTTGGTAGGGAGTATTAGCAGAAATAGTCCAAGTATTATGTGTGGTATTATTTAGTATTATGTTTGGTAGGAATTTTGGGTCTATATATAATCAATCCATGGACTAGTTATACACCCTACATGGTATTATAGGGTGTATAACTAATACCTTCCATTTGGTGGTATTAGTTCTAATACCATGGGACTAATCTAGGTAAAGACAAAAAATACCCCCCTCAAATCCTTTTAATCATGTTATTATTTAGATATAATTTTTTGTTCTAAAAATATGAGTTATTTAATCTATTTATTATTAATATAAAAATATTATAATCCGATTAATATGCTAATGTTGATGTATGAATTTAAGAACAATTCATAAGTCAAATATTGCCTCTTAACGGAAGTCCATTAAACATTACACAAGTAGTCTAAAACAAGAGCATATATATATATAAAACATCTCGAGTATAAAAATAGTTTAATTTATTTTGCTATATTTTTATTTTTTATGATAAAGAGTTTTTTTTTTAATTATTGATACAAAACAAAGTTTAATAAATTTCTCTATAAATTATTATAGTTGTGTGACATTTTGAGATATTAACTCCAATTTATTAAGATGACAATTATTTACTCTCCAATAATTTAAGTGAGAAAATAGTGAACATGACAATAATTTTTTTTTTATTCTCCTAGCTAGTTAAAATGCTATAAAAAAATAAAATTGCCTGTCAATTATCTACATTGACCCAATTACATGAAATAGAAAATCCCATAATAACTCAAGGGTATAACTGGAAATAAATTTTTTTTGTAGAGTTTTAAACCACACACAAAATTAGGTAAGAAACAATGAACCAAACACTTGATAAAAAATAATTCCTACATTACTAATCCATGCATTACCAATCCCTGCATTATTGATCTTTGTACCAAACGACCCCTTAATGTTAAAATGAAGTTATTCTTACTCCTCCCGTTGCGATACTTATCACTTGTATCCTCAAAAACTAACGGTTTCCCCCA